ACTGCTAAAGCCAAATTTACCCACAGAGGGACTTCCCTGGTGGTCTAGTGGTTAAGAATTCACCTTGCAAGGCAGGGGGTGCAGGTTCCATCCCATCAGGGAACTAAGATCTCACATACCATGGGGCAACTAAGCTGGACAACTAGAGAGCCCATGCACCACATTGAAGACCCAGTGTAGCCAAAAAAACAAAATGTAATGTACAAAAATTAAAAAAAAATGTATCCATAGAAATGTCTTATTTCAGTAGGGATCAGCAGGTAAGAATACCCTTGAGGGACTTCCCTGTGGTCCAGTGGTTAAGAACCTACTTCCCAATGCAAGGGATGCCAGCTCGATCCTTGGTTGAGGAACTAAGATCTCACGTGTTGGGGGGGATGGAGGTGGGGACTGAGCCCAAGCGCCCCAGCAAAGAGCTTGCCTACCTACTGCACCTAAGACCCGATGCAGCCAAGAAATAAACAGATAATGTTAAAAATGGAAACCCCCTGAAATGAGAAGCAAATCTAATTCTATTATGCCATGTTTTTTTTTTTTTCCACACTTTAAAAATAGATATGTATTTATTTGGCTAGGCTGTGTCTTACTTGCAGCATGTAGGGTCTAGTTCCCTGACCAGTGATTGAACCTGGGCTTCCTGCACAGGAACAAAGAGTCTTAGCCACTGGACTACCAGGAAGTCCCCACATTTTTTTTTTTTTTTTTTAGTAAGACTTTCCTAAGTTATTTCATTTGAAGCTTTTACTAAAGAAAGGAGACGCTAAGTTCTCTGGTTTCTAGACAGCTAAGAGGAGAGAGCCTTAGAGCAAAATTCTTAAAAAGAATATTAAAGAAAAGCTGTTTAGTAGGAAATAGAATTCCTTGTGGAAATTATAACAGAGGCCCTTCTAGGTGTGTGTGTGTGTGTCTGACGGTTTGTACATTCTTGGTAAGTGCAGTTTGCCTAGGTTCTAGTGGTAACCCACTAGGTCTGAAGACAGGATGAAAAAATAATAGTGCAGCATATCTCACTGATTCACTTTACTTCTTAAAATATGGCCTAGAAAATGTTAAAGTACAGAAGCGGATCTTAAGGCTCTAGATAGTTCCTTTGCGCATTCATTAGAGATATATTTTTATGTGTGTAGTTTTCATTTTAGTTGCCCTACAAAGAAAGTAAGGAGAACTTTTACTTGTATTTACTTCCTGTTAAAACATGCAAATGAATCGGAAAAAAAATATATTTGGCATGTCAGGGTTCAGGTCTTTGCACAAACAAGTCAAGCAGAAACATGTTTCTTCAGAGTTTCTGTTGTTTCTCCGGAAGCCTCTGTAGTGCTGCCTTTTCTTGGCCCTTCTCTCTTCTCCCTTGTCTTCAGAGCAAGAGACCCTCCTGATAGGCAACATGCGGAGAGGCCACCAGAGCCTTTCATGTTTCACTTTCATGAACCGGGGAGCACTATTTGGGTTTGGCCGGTTTGCTCCCCGGGGGCCGCTAACCCATCTGGAAGTGGATGTACTGCTCCAGTGGGACAGCTGTGCCTTTTCATGCCACCAGAACCACCAAACTTCTCACCCCGTGTCCTTTCTGTCTCCTGGCTCTGCCTCCTCGGAGGCCTTCTGCTTTCTTGCTCAGAGCCAGTGAACCACGTGGCCCTTTTCTAGCTGGTTGCAAAGAGTCAGACATGACTTAGCCACTGAACAACAACAACTGTTTACCATGACAACTTCCTATGGAGATACAAAACCAGAGTAGCCAACAGAGACATTCCCTATCCTGGGCATTGCCCAAGGAAATAATAAAGCAATTATTTCTTATTTCTTAGTTGTGGCATGTGGGATCTTCCATCTTCACGGCAGCATGTGGGATCTAGGTCCCTGGCCAGGGATGGAGCTCAGGCCCCCTGCATTGGAAGCCTGGAGTCTTAGCCAAGGGACCACCAGGGAAGCCTTGAAGCTAGGCATCTTGAAGGACATATGAGAGAGAAAAAGAATATTTATTTATGCAATTATGTTCTAGGCCAAGGTACAGGTGATTTGCAGGTGGAAATATCATTTGATATTGACATTAGACCTACCATGTCGTTTTCTTTCATTCTTATCTTGGGTTATAGGAAGTAGTGGGGTCTTCTCACACCTCAGGGTTTCTGCTTAGGCTGGTGAAGGTTTTGTCCCACCCTGAGTGAAGTTCAGCTCCTACTTTGCTCCCTAAGCCTTGGACCCGGAATGGCCTGTACTGGCCTGGAGGAAGGAATGCCTTCTCAACTCACACAAAGATGCATTGCAGGTAAGAAGTGCCGAGGTTTGGCCCACAGCCCCACTCCGTGCCTGTCAAAGTCCCTAAGAAGACAGATGTTGCCTGCTCTTCTGCTGGGGCCCTATGGACAGGGACCCCATCACAGTGCCTGGAAGACAGGCTCTCAGTCAAGTTGGCCCCTCCCCCTTCCTCTGTTCCTGTCATTCTTGGGCTGATAAATGCCTTGTTCATCTGGTAAACTCCCAACTGAAAAGTCATCACAGACAGCCTATCCATTCCACACCACTGCCAAACGAATCCTCCTATAATACCCATTTACTACCCACCACTGGTCTCACCCTGCAATATCCTCTTACCACCTACTGCTTCGTCACTTTGTAAGAGTCAATCTCTTTTTTGGTCAATATACATTTCCCTGGTGGTCTAGCAGGCTGAGACTCTGTACTCCCAAGGCAGGAGGCCTGGGTTCCATCCCTGGTCAGGGAACTAGATCTCACATGCCCTAACTAAGACTTGGTGCAGCCAAATAAATACATTAAAAAAATTTTTTTTTAATTAAAACGTAAAGGAAGATCCAGGGAAAAGTGAGTTTTCTTCATACGTTCAATCCCAAGTTTCACATATTCTTTTCCCAGAAATAACCACTGTTACTAGTTTGTTTTTCTTCTTCCAGAGATATTTTATGCATAAACAAACATGTACATGAGTAACGCTTACTTTAAAACCTAAATAATATATTACAGATATATTGTTTAGTACTTGCTCCTCCCCATTAATAATAGAGATTAAATAGTCTTTATATCTGTGGGTTTAGATCCACCTCATTTAGTCTCAAGGTGTGGTGTCTGGTACACTTAGATCCATCTTTCTTTCTTTTTTTTAAATTTTTGGCCATACCACGACGCAAGGTATTCGGGACCTCAGTTAGTTCCCTGACTAGTGATCGAATCTGCACCCCCTGCAATGGAAGCATGGAATCTTAACCACTGGACCAGCAGAGAAGTCCCTCACCTAATTCTCTTAGTCTCATGGTATAGCTATATCACAGTGGTTCCCAATCTAGGGTGACTTTGTATCTCACCCTCTCCAGTCAAGAGAAGACTTTGGTTATCAGGACTGGGGTTTTTACAAACATCCAAAGTGGGTAAAGGCCAGGAATGCTGCTAAATATCATACCAAACACAGGACTTCCCTGGTAGTTCAGATGGTAAAGAGTCTGCCGGCAATGCAGGAGACCCCGGTTCGATCCCTGGGTTGGGAAGATCCTTTGGAGAAGGAAATGGCAACCCGCTCCATGATTCTTGCCTGGGAAATCCCATGGACAGAGGAGCCTGGTAGGCTAGAGTTGGACATGACTTAGGATTTAAACAACAATAAACAATACACAGTAAACAACAACAAACAATATTCAAAATCAGAGATATTACTTTGCCAACAAAGGTTCATCTAGTCAAAGCTATGGTTTTTCCAGTAGTCATGGATGTGAGAGTTGGACTATAAAGCAAGCTGAGTGCTGAAAAATTGATGCTTTTGAACTGTGGTGTTAGAGAAGACTCTTAAGAATCCCTTGGATAGCAAGGAGATCCAACCAGTCCATCCTAAAGGAAATCAGTCCTGAATATTCATTGGAAGGACTGATGCTGAAGCTGAAACTCCAATACTTTGGCCACCTGATGCAAAGAACTGATTCGTTGGAAAAAACATGATGCTGGGAAAGATTGAAGGCAGGAGAAGAGGACAACAGAGGATAAGATGATTGGATGGCATCACCAATTCGATGGACATGAGTTTGAGCAAGCTCTGGGAGTTGGTGATGGACAGAGAAGCCTGGTGTGCTGCAGTCCATGGGGTCGCAAGGAGTTGGACACGACTGAATGACTGAACTGAATTGAACTGAAACAATATCAGGACAGTCCCCACAACAAAGAATTTCTGGCCTCAATTGCCAATAGTGCTGAGACTGAGAAATTTTGCTGCATAATAACTCAGTTAACCAGATTCTCTGTTGATAAGCATTTAGATGGTTTCTAATATTTTAATATATAAACCCTGCTGCAGTGACAATGGTATAAATTGGAGTTCTTAGTTGCAGATGATACGATTTATTTTAGTTTAAGCAGAAAGGGATTATCATAGGGGGTGACCACATTTTTGAGAAAGTTAACAGTTCAAGCTTGAGGGACTTCCCTGGTGGTCCAGTGGCTAAGACTCCTCACTCCCAATACAGAAGGCCACTGGTCAGGGAACTAGATCCCACCTGCCATAACTAAGATTGAAGATCCCGAGTGCTGCAACTAAGACCCTGTGCAGCCAAATAAGTAAATATTAAAAAAATTAAAAACAACATGTAGGCTACAGAGAACCAGTCTGAGGGCTCCTACATTTCACACCAGACTGCATTTGGGGCTTTTAGGGAGAAGCAAAAAAAGACAGAACTCTGAAGTCCTGGGGTTCACTGCTATCTGCAGGGCAGGCAGAAGAGGAGAAGGCAGGGAAGAAACTAAATGGCCAAAGGGAAAGGTCGGAGCGGGAGCAGGGATGGCCAGTAAGGAGGCTTTGAAGGAGAAGTGACAGGCCCCTTTGTTTCAGAAGAAGTTCACCGAGAGAGATAAGCCTGGAGAAAGAGCCACACGAGGGGAGGGAGCGTTTCAGAAGTCACAGTTGGAGCCTGCTACTCCCTAGCCTGCTGCTCTCAGAGCTCTTCCCCACCATCCCTTCTGCCTGTTCCAGCACTTCCTTGGCTGATTCGTGAACTCCCCCTTACCCTGGCTCCAGTGTTTCCACCTTTCTTTCCTCTTCTGTGGTTGTCTACTTCATGGATAACTTGCTCTTTGGGAAGTTTCCACAGTCCTTGATTTCACGTCACATCACTTACCACATTTGGTCCAAGTACACTTTGGATTCAGTGGGTCTCACCCGCATCTCACCCACAGACTATAAGGTCCTTTTTTATCCTTCCCTCTCTAGGTCTGCCCCAGGCTTGGTACATACTATGCAGTGCTCAGGCGATGTTTGCCGAAGCACAGGAGTTAAGGGCAGAAATTCTGAGCCAGGTTGCTTGGGCTAGGAACCCAAGCTTTTCCACTTTCTGTGTAGCCCTGGGCACAGTTTTTAACCTTTCCATTCCTATTTGTTCATCTGTAAAATGTAATCCTCAGGTCAACATTTTACTGTGAAGAAGAAAATTAAACAAGCTATACTCAGCACTCAGAACAGTGCTTAATACTCAAAAAGTCTTATCAAAGTGCTATATTATAAATATGTTCTCTATATAACTATTATTAGTATTTATTTATTTTTGGCTGTGCCCAGGCTTTTCTCTAGTTGTGGCGAGTGGAGGCTGCTCTCTAGTTATGGTGCATGGGCTTCTCACAACAGTGGCTTCTCTTGTTGGGGAGCATGGGCTCTAGGGCGCACGGCTTCGGTAGTTATGGCTCCTGGCTCTGGAGCACAGGCTCAATAGTCGCGGCGCACAGGGTTGGCTGCTCCGATGCACGTGGAATCTTCCCAGATCAGGGATCAAATCCGTATCTTCTCCTTGGCAGGTGGATTTGGAAACCCTATAAATATTATTATTATTAGATGTTATCTTTGTTAAATTGCTACATCTATTTTATACACTAAAGCATCCTTGTTACTCAGAACAGTCCCTGGAACTCTGTAGATACTTTTTAAGTATTTGCAGAATGAATGAGTGAACGAATGATGGAATTCCCTCTGTTTGTCCTCATTCTAGTGTTACAGTGCCCTTTCAGTAAGGGTGGGGTGGGTGACAGGGTGTTCAAGTGCCATTAGGGCATAAATCAGAAATTTAGAAGTTTGTGGGCATAGTCCACAAGTATTTCTCTAGGAGAACGTGTCTAACCTACAAACGAAGTTCTGGTAACTCAGGTCAAAGGTAAATTGGGAGGGAAAATCTGTATGGCACATGTACCAGGAATAACCTCCTTTGTCTTGTTTTAGTAGATACTTTCAAATTTCCTTCTCTAGGCCAGGCTGACTAGAGTGCAAGTTAATTTGAATTTCACATTTTGTCCTTGTTCTTATAGAGAATGAAAAGACTTCAGAACACTGCACAGTGTTTATATAACCAACAAAAGGAGTGTTTTGTAGCTGCACAGACCTGGAATCGAATCAGGATCCCTGTTCTATAATCACGGATTGTACTTGGCCCGAGTCTTATTTTTCTTATCTATAAAACGGGGATAGCTTACTTTCTTCATAAGACTGTGCTGGGAAAGCATTTATGTGCATTTTGAAACCACTTCAGTTCTATACAAATATCAGTTACTACTGGATCCCCACATTGGTTTCTTGATAGAGTTTCAGGAAAATATCTGTGAAAGGGTGGGAGATACCTGATCTAATCTCAACGCTCTTTGAGATCCGGAGGGTTTGGACTTTCCCGTCCAACTGCTGGTCAGGGGCCAAGCCTTGAGGACGCTGGGTGGGCGATCAGTGCTTGATCAGACTAGGACTGAAGGGTCCGGGCTAAACTCCCTGCTTTATTTCTTTCATGTCAAAAGTCACAATCTACAAACCCTGATAAGGACTCAGGAGATGTAAGCCAGAAAGACGATGAGTGAAAACCGAGACGCAGAGAGAGGGTCTGTTTGTGTTGTCTTAGGAGGAACATCAGAGCCAGAGAGGGAGGATGTGCCGGAGGGAGTTCGCGTCTGAAAGAGTGGAAGGGGAACGGAACGCAGGAACTCCACACCCTGAGTGAAAGTGAGGCCCAGTGAAAGGGGTCAGCCTGAGGAATTTCGGTTCCCGCCCCACGACTCCAGGCTTTGACTACAGTTCCGCCCGCAGAAGCCCTGGGCCCCTTGCCCCGCCCCCAGGGGTTAATCGGATCGTACCATTATGCCATCATAGGGGCGGAGGTGAAACGTGGGCTAGTCTTGCAAAGCAAATAGTTCTTTGTCAGAAAAAACAGGATTATCTATATGATACGAACGTTTCTTAGTTAATACATTTCCTTTCTTCCTGTTAGGATCGTCTATATTCCCTGAAGCGTGCCAGGAGTCCGTCCATGATTCCCCCTTTCCTTTCCGTAGTTGGTACATCCCCCCGGGAGACGTAGGCGGGGAGGCGTACATAAACCTCGACGCAGGAGGCGGGGCTGCTCAGTCCTCGAGGCGTCGGTGCTCTGTAGTGTTGGAACCTTGTTGCTTGTCGGCCTGTGCGCGCGTGCGCGGACATGGCCTCAAACGGTATGTAAGGGCGCGAGGCGGTCGTGGCGCGCCGGCCTCGGACCTCATTCCCTCCCAGTCCAGCTTTTGTTTTTCGGTGGGACCCGAGCGGCTATCGAGTGCAGGATCTTTTCCTCGCACCACTGGCTGGAAGCAGCGGAGAGGGGTGGAAGGGGGAGGCCGATGTCGCCATTTTGTTTTGCTCCTCTGGCTCCTCGCGTGGGGCGGGAGGTCGTCCCTTCGCTGCCCCCTTCCTTGAGGTGAGGATTGGGAGGGACGCGGCTTATTGATTGGGAATGGGAGGCACGGATGGAAATGCTCGGTCTCTGTACCCGCTTCTCCCCTACGTCCCCAGCCGCGCGCTCGGGCCCGCTTTGTCGCAGTGCTGCATCCGGGCACTCGGAGGAGCGCGCACGCGCTCTGCTAGCCCCTCCCCCCTTTCTGGCGGCGCGAACCGCCCCCCCCCGCCCCGGGTCTCATTTCGGCCCTGCTTTTTGTCGCGAGACCCTCGACTGGAGGCTCCGCGGCGCGCGTCCGGTGTGGGCCGCGCCCCCGGGGTCCCTCGGGAAGGGGCGGGACCGCCTCGTTCCCGCCTCACTTGCCACGCGGCCGGGGGCGGAGGCTCGGGGTCGGGGCCGCGCGCCCGCTTAACGGCTGTGGGTGGGGGGCTGGGGAGTGATCTAACGGTCTTGAGGACCGGGCCCGAGGCCTTTCCCGCCTAAATTTCCTTTTACCGAGGTGGGAACTGAAAAGAACGGCCGCCCGAGGCCACACCCTCGGTGCTCTGGCTCTTTACTGCGAGGGAAGCGCCTCGTTTCCTGTATCGAGGAGATGAGCCGATCAGGCCCGTGCGTCTTCCGTGTGGCGTTTTAAAAAGCACTTTGGCTTCTTTGGATTCGCCTAGTCTTCCCGCCCCGGAGTTAGGCAAGGGGGATAGGAAAACGCACTCGTTTGGGAGCCTCAGGGCTGGGGGCTTGGGTACCAGCCAACGTGCTGATCAGAGTGCTTTCTTCTCTTGGTTAGCTGGCTTTGCACCAAAAGCTCCCATTTCCAGGCTCCAAGATGGGGCAAAGGGTGAAGCGTGGCCTTTTGTGAGATATTCTTGTTCTTCGGATTGAGAAAGCGGAGGCTCCTTTCGGAACAGTTCTGCCTCTGGCTTGAATTAAAAACCTGTCTTGCTGAAACAGCTGTGTGATTTCAGCCTAACTCTTGGCGATGTGTTCCTCCTCGAGGGGGCGTGAGAAAGAAATGTGTAAATCTTTGCAGTTCCTGACATCGATTGAAGTTGCGGACAGTTGCTGCTGTCCGTTAGCACTCTTGCTTTTTCAAGTACTTAAGGCTTCTTTCTTGGTTTTGTGGAAATGCGCTCTTTGTGTTTTTTATTGTAAGAAAACTTGACTGGTGTCTTGCAGACTGCCCCTCGCCAGTAGAGTTTCATGAGGGAATTTATGCCTCCTTTGTTGATTGTCTTATCTGGGGTTCCCGAAGCTTAAGTCATTTAGCTCTAGTCTATTCTGAGGAATGGCTGAAGGTAATAATAATCGTGTTTTTCTTTTGCAGACTATACCCAACAAGCAACCCAAAGGTGAGTCTCCCTTCTGCGCTTCCAGAGTTTGTAGAGGGCGAGGGTGGCTAAGGTTTCTTTTCCTGAGAGCACTGTTTTTTTCTCCAGCTACGGGGCCTACCCATCTCAGCCTGGGCAGGGCTACTCCCAGCAGAGCAGTCAGCCCTATGGGCAGCAGAGTTACGGTGGCTACGGCCAGTCTACGGACACTTCGGGCTATGGCCAGAGCAGCTACGGTAGTTCTTATGGACAGACCCAGAACAGTGAGTCTTAGTGGGTCACCCCACCTCTTCTGCTCTTTGTGAATGTTGCTTTTCTTAAACCTAAACAGTGCTGAAAAGTTCCCCTTGCCAGTCTTGGACCCTTAAAGCTCTTTGATGTTTTGAGTCCTTTCAAACAAAAAGACTTAATTGGTTTGTAATCTTGTTTTCTTTTATTTTCTGTGACTTTTTACTTTTCTGTTTATGCTGCTGTTTTCCCAATTTCTCCTAAGCATGAAAGTGAAATAAAGATGGGAGGAATATTCTCTAGAGGGAGCAATGCTTTAGGTTTTTAAAGAGGGAAAATGACTTGCTTGAAGATGTTTGAAGTCAGATGGCATCACATGATATACCAGGAGGTGGAATTTGCCCTGAGATCCCTGAAGTGTAAATAGTAACATGTTGTCTTTATTTGTTGTGCACATGGTTGGGGAGGTTAAAGTGCTGTTAGTGAATAGAGATCTCTTGGGCTGTGACTAGTGGTGGTCCTGAAGGCTGGCTTTGGGGGTGTGTGGGATGAGATTAGAACTCAGAACTTGAGTAGAAGTTGAAACACAGGTTTCAGGTAGAAAGGTAATCTCTTTAGCTATGATTTGCAAGATTGCCAAGCATCTTATAAGAGGTTGACTTAGCACGTATGGGAAGCATTAGTGGTATACAGTGGTGGTCTCAGTGCATTCGCTGCCTGTTGTCTTCCTCATAGCTTTTGTGACTTCACTTCTCCTTTCCTGTAGCAGGCTACGGCGCGCAGTCAGCTCCCCAGGGGTATGGCTCAGCTGGTGGCTATGGCAGTAGCCAGAGTTCTCAGTCGTCCTACGGGCAACAGTCCTCGTACCCTGGCTATGGTCAGCAGCCAGCTCCTAGCAGCACCTCAGGAAGGTAAGGAGTGGGTGTGGAGAGGACTGAAAACATTAGGGGTGAATCCGTAAGGAATGATAATGTGATCAGCAGTGGGAATAACTATGAGGGGTAATGGGTCAGTGGTGGTCTCTTTTGGGGACAGAGAATGGATGTACCAGAAGTGAAGTCTGGACACACTGGGATTGTGACTCTTTGTCTTTTTCTTTTCCCCTAGTTATGGTGGCAGTTCTCAAAGCAGCGGTTATGGGCAGCCCCAGAGTGGAGGCTATGGCCAGCAGTCTAGCTATGGTGGACAGCAGCAAAGCTATGGACAGCAGCAAAGCTATAACCCCCCTCAGGGCTACGGACAGCAGAACCAGTACAACAGTGGCAGTGGAGGTGGTGGAGGGGGTGGCGGAGGTTAGAGGTTTTCTTCTGCTCTGTCTCATACCTGCTTTTTGCAAGACATTGTATTCTCTTAGGCCCTTACCCTGAAAGGGTTCTTAAAAACCTTGCATTTTTGTGTCCTAGCTTTATCTGTATTTCTAGTGACACTTATTCCCTGGCACTCTTGAACTGTTCTATGCCACCTCACAGTCTGTTTTGTCCTTTTTAAAGGCATGCTTTTCTTTCCTGACAGGTAGCTATGGCCAAGATCAGTCCTCCATGAGCGGTGGTGGCGGCGGTGGTGGTTATGGCAATCAGGACCAGAGTGGTGGCTACGGGGGAGGCCAGCAGGACCGTGGGGGCCGTGGCCGGGGCGGTGGCGGTGGTTACAACCGCAGCAGTGGTGGCTATGAACCCAGAGGTCGTGGAGGTGGCCGTGGAGGCAGAGGCGGCATGGGGTAGGTGTCTTGTGAGCCAGGGCGTACCAACAGTGGGAAGGGTGGGGGGTTGCATGAATCTCCCTTGAAGCCTAGTCCTGTAGTGCATGGGTAGTCTGATTCTGGGAATTTGTGAGGACTTTTGATTTGGGATCTTGACTGTTTCTTTTTCGTACATCCATCCCCATTTTATTTTTGTGAGAACTTGGAAGCCTGAACTTCTACCCACACCTCTGTACAGAGATTTGAGTACTGACAACTTCCATCTGTAAAGAAAAAGGAGAAATGTAGGGGTATATGTGGATTGGAGTCATTGATATCCTAGACAAGAAACATGGACGTAAAGGCTTCTTTCTCTGCAAGGGAAACCAGTGATCCCATTCCTGGTGATAGGGAAACTTGTTACTTGTATTCCCATGTGTCCTCTAAAGGAGTTGTCAATGGTTAACCTGACTTGAGCTTCCAGGAATTGGCTACTCTCTCTTCCTGTATTCTGTAGTCACTTGAATCCACGAGCTTGACTTGTACTAATCTGACGGACTGTAATGATTTCGTGCGTGACTTGGTTCTTGGGGCTCTCTGAAGTGTGCAGACCTTTTGGACAAAGTACAGTACGCTCGACAGTGGTCTCCCTTCACTTGCTCCACTGTTCCCCTTCCTCCGGTTACTTGTCCAGCTGGACCTTCTTTGCTCCCCTTCCTGCTGAAGCAAAACCTTAGATTTGATGTTAGAGCATTTGTCTGTTGGTAAATAACCATTGGAGGGACCCTTCTCTGTCTCTCTCGAGAAGGGGAGGAATGTCAGTGTGTTATTCCTTTTGGGGAAAAAGTAAGTTTTATAAAAAGTTTGTGTATGGTAAGTATTCAGGAGGGGGGTGGGGGCAGTGCCAAAAACCTTACAGAAATAAGGAAAACTCTGTTGTGTGCGTGTGTTTAATGCAAAACTTTAAAAAAAGAAAAGCAACTGTTATGTGACTGTTAACTTGCTCTGCATTTTATGTGCCACAGGTATGAAAGGTGACATTGCAAAATACTCCGCTCTTCTCGCAGTGTAGAAGGGGTGACCCCGGGGGTGGGGAGAGATCAAAACCAGCTCAGTAGTTAGGGTAGGGCTTAGCTAAGTTTTGTCTCGCTTTAAGGGGAAATTGCCTTTGGTTTTGACTT